TGCTGCTTGGGTTTTCTTTGCCATTGTTTCACTCTAATTGAAAATATTTTTGTTTGCACTTCATTAAACTTAAATGGCACACAGCAAAGCCAAAATGGCGAGTGGCAGATAGTTGCATTTAAGAAAAACTGCAAAGCTCTATATGGGAATATTTTAATAAAAGTATAAAGTTGCCGTTCTTGTTGCTGTTATTTTAATCCAAAATGCAATCATTGAAATGCATTTTATTTAAGCTGCACTCGGTTATTGCATTTTTGCATACAAATTTGGTAGCTTTTGTATGTAGCTCAAAACCTCCAGCGACCTCATTTTATATGCTTGCAACTATTGTGCTTCTTGCTCGCCGACCAGATTCTGATTCTGCAGCTCGGCCCGCTTTTTTTTGCACAAAAATTCAATGGCATTTTGTGCTTTTTGGAACTTTCAGATGATTCTTTATTGTCAATCGAACAATAACGAAATCATCGGGCAAGTTACGTCAAACGCCGCAGACGCAGCACGGCGAAAACTTTAAGGTAGGCAGCAGCGGCAGCAGCAGCAGCAGCAGCAGCAGCAGCAAGTCAGACGGCCCGAGTGACACGCCCCAGCAGTGAGATTTATATGCCCAGGCGATGTGACTCAATCAATGGCATTTGTGTTGTGCGACAACAACAACAACAACAACAACGAGAATGATAACAAAAAGACGAGTGAGAGGAAGTGAAGATGCAGCAGAGCATCAGACAGTCAGACGAAGTAAAAGACATGCACAGCATTTTGTATAAAGAAATCAAAAATTTATACAAACTTTGCACAATGAATGAGCAACAACAAAGAGTGCGCACCGTGCCATAGCCATGCCATGGCGCAGTGTCCAGGAGGCCAAGCTATAGCTAGAAGCTGTGCGCCACATCGTCCTCGTTTCATAGCAGTTGCCGAAAATTGTTGCTCTTTGACAGCAACAACAACAGCAACAAAATGGACACAGGAACTGACCTGCAACTTGCAGGCAGCAGGCAAGTGGGCAAGTGGGCAACAAAAGGACAAGGCTCAGTCGCCGTAGTTCTCAGGATGTGTACGAGAATGCATGTGTGTGTGTGTGTGTGTGTGTGTGTGTGTGCACCATGGTTAGCACTGCATGTGCCTGTGTACGAGAATTAATTAAAAATTCCGAAAATATCCGGTTAGCTCTTTATAACAATTTCTCATGCTATGTGAACTCTTGCTTCTTCTAGGCCAGAAAAATCTAGCAGCATTGTGTACGTATTGTGCTTTAATATACATTGACTTTTTCAACCGAACATCACACAATTTCCAGGCTATATCCCACTTCAAGACGCCAGTGTCGTTTATTCAAATTACATTTCGGCTTGGCCACTTGCCCAGTTAAATACATAAATTAAATTATTTGGCACATGTGGCCTGCATCGTATACGTAATATGTGCTGTTACCATTTTAATTGAGCAATTCCAGGCGACAATAGAAAAATGCTAAGAACTTGAATTCAATTCGCATATACATATTCATGGTATATTGTATAAGCATGAAAATATATTTCCTAAGCTATATGATGTAGTTTTAAGATCTTCATAAGATTTGGCAACTGCAGCAAAGTGAAAGTTTCCATTTTGGTCAAGTTATGTTGAAACAAAAAAAGGCGAGTCGACTGTTAAGACTGATCAAAAAAATATATACTTTATGGAGTCTCCTTCTATGCATTATTATGGCATTATTCATGACAATATTATAATACCCTCTACAAGGGGATAATTAATGAGCAGCCCGCACATTGCCTTTCTGCCTGAGCATATTGTAAGGGACCGAAAAATAAATCAGAGTAAAAATTATAAAGGGCGCGCATTGGCCGGAAGTGCTTTGACCGAGCATGACGGGGCAATTTTTCAATAAAAATGAACGGCACGCTCGTTAAAACCAAAACAATTGACCACATAAATTAGCGACATTAAAATGGCGAGGCAGGATGCCAGGATGTGCAAGCGATTGATTCAATTAATTGCCAAATTAAAAAGGGAATTTATCCGCAAAGGGCCACAAGAAAGAAGGCCAAACGACAGAGGACGAGATATTATGACAAAGTTAGAAAAGCAAACAATAAACGATTTGTGGGCCACTGGCCCTCAATTGGGCCAAAGGCGCGCCTGGCCGGATCTGGGCTAACACACAATAGTGACAGCAGGCGCCCGCGGGGGCCACTCTCAGACACAATTGAATTTATTATGGCATTTCAACTCGACAAGCATCAATTGAATATAATTTTATCAACGCCCGCCCACACACACACACACACACACACACATAACTTAGCCAAAGAGTAAGCGGGCGAGAGTCAGGATATATTTCGAGGGCGGCTCAGTTGCAATAGCATCATTATTGAACTAAGCCGAAGCTATTGGCCCTCAATGGGCCACAACACGACACATTTGTAGACACACACACCCATACACACACACCCAGACACACACCAACAGACAAAGGCTGGCGTTCCAATGCCCTCAGGGTGTATTTTTCGCCACTTTCGCCAGTCGCCAAGTGTTGTGTGTTGACTGTCTTTGATTCTGTTTGTCTGCATCTTTTTGCGGCTAAACTTGCCCGCAACTAGCGTCTCTCACACACACACACATACACACAAACACTTGTCTAAGTATGTGTAAGCAAGCATGTTGTCTAACACGCTTCGAACTTCGTCATAGATTGCGCTGCCTGTCGCGATTTCCTGTGCAGTTCTCTTTGGTAATTTCGGCCTTTTGGCATATTTTCGCAGGCCATTTCCAAAGGGGGTTTTGGAAATCAGTAAATATTTATTTACTATTTATTTGGCCAACAGCAAGTTACGTGATATAAAACAGGATATAACAGTTGTCGTCGCGATGCCATAAAAAAATGACACCCATGTAGTCATATGATAGTTGATCTTGACAACAAATCAATATTTAACCAATGTACATAAAACAATCCAAGCCCAGGAATTGCGTTATTTACCCAAAAATGCACACACCTACGTACGATTATTTGATTGCCGTCTTTTAGCAAAAGGTAGGGGGACCTTTAAGTCAATATATATAATATTTTATCTGACAAAATAGAAGTTACATACCCACTCAAAAAGTTGATAGGCTTGCAGCTTAATGTCTCGATCATACGTAGAAAACATTTGTGAGAGAGAGTTTTGCAGATGAGAGTTTAGAAATACTATAAAGGAGAGAGCTCTGATAGGAGGAAATGCTTTGGCGGATTAAAAGTCACCATGCGAGAGTAATAGACTAGGATGTACCCTGTACACAAGCTTAAAGATAACATATTTAATTTTTTGTTTTTTTTTGGGAAATTAAATGTTGGAAGCCTTTGCTATGTGAAGGCATTACTATGTCAGCTACACACCCAGTATATGACAGGAATAAAATGGCAAACGGTCCTTTGACCATGCGACACTTTAATGCATTATCGTTGGCTGCACGTGAAATAAACCGCAATGTTGTGCGGCAAAAACACTTATTACGCATACGTGCATGTAATGACCACGGGACAAAAAGGACAAACTATATGTATATAGCCAAGGACGTGGGCTGGACAACAATTGCCAATAATGCAAGGGGCATTAACAGGCGCGCCGCTGATTTTTGCGAATTGGCCGTGTAATCTGCCTATAGTTATTAACATGGCTTTATTAGCAAGTGGCTTAAACAGCAGCAGCTTAAAGCTCCATTTGAACTATTAAGCCCCTTTGCAACAACCGACTGAATGTAAACAAGAAAGAAACAACTGTAAGGAAAGCAGCATTGATGAAATTTTAACTTTAAATGTATTTTAAACAATCTTTAATCACAAAAACTAGGTGTCGATGTTAGCGACATAAGGCATATATCATCAAAGATACTTGTAAGTTATGTCAACTTGAAATTTAACTTATTTTCAGACAAATAATAGTAATAACTAAAGCCTAACGAAGTTCGTAGTTATACCCTTTACATAAAAAAAATAGGGTGAAATGGTTTATGCATATCCCATAAAATGTAAATATACTTGACCAGGACAACGAGCCAGTCCATCTATCTATCTACCTTAACAAATTACCGATAAAAATCAATTTTGAGGTTTATTTTCAAGCATAACTCAAAAGCCTTAAAAACTAGATTCACCAAATTTGGTAAGTAGTCTCTGGTAATGTATACACAGATTTCCTAATCACTTCATTCACTTTTTGGATTCCTCCCCTCATTTGGCACAAAATCTTTTTCGGCTAGAGCCTATGCACACACCTGTTTAATTGCCATATTTAACATTAAATGTCCGGACGAAGCTGTTTTTGGGTTGTACATAAATGCATTTATAATTACCCGCATTAGCACGTTGAATTCAGATTGGGCTTTATTTTATAATTTCAAGTATTCAAAGCGTGCTTTTGCAAACCAAAATATAATATTGACAGAGAGTTACAGGGGAGCTTGTAGTCGAGCACACTCTACACAGCGTTTTTATTTGTTTTTAATTTTCCAAAAATACAGCTCTGGTTTAACTAAGAGCACAAGTTGTTGAGGAATGCCAAGTCCTAAATTTAAAAAAAATATATGAAAAATATTAGTTTATTTTGAATTGTAGAGAAAGTCTTTAAAAGCAAAACTATTAATTGATTGATTGATTCAAAATTGCAATTACAAAATTACAAAGATAGATATTCAAAATTATGGTTGTTCATCTGAAATCGAGCAAAAAAGTCTTTTAAACGAATCTGCAAGTAATATGTTTCTTTTAAGAAGGGCCCAGATGAGCTAATGCAGAGGGTCTCATACCAGATGCTGTCGTAGATGGCCAAAGCGAGTTGTTGACAGTAAAGGAAGAACGTGAAGGCGGCGTAGAAGAGAACTTCTGGCTGTGTCAGATTTGCTGACAACTGACAGTGAAGCCCCAAGGAACTAAATATTGATTAGCGTTCGAAAGAGACGATTCAATGTGAAAGACATGTCCGGCTTCTTTTGATAGATAAGCAACATGTTGATGAAATTCATACGTACAAGCTGTAGGCCAGCGTATAGAAGAGCGTACCCATCCACGCCGTTGGCAGCAGGAAGCCCAAATCGGCGGAAACATTCCACACATACGACACCAAATAGTTCCGTGCAATCCGATTATCCCACGAATAGCTGCAACGGGCCGTGCAAGTCTGCAATCCAATCGAACATTCCTTTAAAACTACTGAGCGTACTCAGCTCGGAAATGTCAACTTTGGCTGTAGTGGGACCAGTGCAGGGGCACAGAAAAGAGTTCAGCATGTGCCAGTAGACATGCCGTGGTTAGTTGGAATCAATTTTTGTATCTTCCACTAATTAGCTGCTCGCGTCCAAATACCCTGTTTATTATCTGGCTGTAAGCTTTAATCCTTTTAGAATAAATAATTTAATAACAATTTAAGATAACTTTACTTTGTGTGTATCACAATTCAAGAAGATGCACTGTAATCCTGTGAGTTTAAAAAAATGTCGTTGATTAACTCGACATATTTTGACTAACTTTAAGAGCAAAACATTTCGAATATATTTTATTTATTTATTGACAGAAACTTTTATTTCTACAATAGAATTTGTAACTCTCATTTAATCATATATTTTTTTGTTGCAATTAAAATTAAAATAAATCTTAAAATTTAACGAAAAAATGGTAATTTTAATAATTATATGATTAAATATAATAAAGACAATAACAATTGTTATGTTAGCGCAAAAAGTAATTTTCACAATGTTAACTGTAGAATTTATTTATGTTATAAATTAAACTATTTTCACAATATTTCCACCATTAAACAAAAACAAATTAAAAATGACACAGACTATAGTCACAATGCAGAAAATGCAATAATTATTAACTTATAATTTTCTCATCATAACTTTCAAGTTTGGGGTAAATTCAACATAGCTGCAGGCAAGTTCAAAATTAGACTCAATCTACCCTCTATTCCCTGAAAACAGGGTAAATATACTTTAAAATAGCTTTACCAAAGTTTGCTTAATGTGCTGAGAGCTTCTTAAATAATGCGTTGAAAATCCTTATGCAGCCATAGAATTAATCCGGCCTTAAACAGTGCCAAAAGGTCAACCTGCGCCGAGCATAGGACACATTTTCCATATTACACACACAGAACGACACAGTCAATGGCAGGAATGTGACATAATGCTGTAAGCAGTCCCATACAGATACAAACAGCTCTGTATTGAAGTCCAGCAGGCGAATGTAGGTGTCCTGCAACTTGAGAAACTTGTGCGTCAGCAACTTGCAGCTTGAATTGTGGCTGTTGCTTTAATAGAGATCGCATGCCTCAAGAATCAGGTGTCTAATTGCAATATAATTGGCAGCCACCTACGCACACAGTCAGGCACAAATTTTGCGCTCATTAAACTTAAGGTCTAAATAATGAATGGCTCGAAGTGCTCGAGCATTTACCAAAGGCTATTTCGAGCACACTTACAGAAAATTTGATGGCATTTGCACTCGAATTTAATCTAATTCAAGTATGTTTTCGTATATCATTAAATGTGCATGCATTATTATTAAATGCGCCCAAAGCGAACATAAATTGAAATCAGATCTTAAAAGATATATCTTAGATGTATATTTGTTACTTTTAGTTAATCATTAACTCCAGCATGGAGTTAACTAACTAAGACCAGCATGAGTAGAAAAGGAGATTTGTTTTGGCGTAAAGAAATTGTTAGTCTGGAAAAGAACTTATTAAAACCATCTACCAGGATCGCTTTTCGATTCCATGACAGAATAAGAAAAGTAAGCCCGACAGAAAACGGGTCGAATCCTTCGCAGAAATATTTCGACTAATTCTAGTACAGGGTATTTGCTTTAGAATACTTTAAACCAGGCTAATTAGTCGACCGCTCTTCTAACTATTTCTTGGGCATATATATTCGAAAAACGAGCTGCATCTTATTGAGATGCATGCCTATGGATTTACACTGAGGCGTGGCAAAAGTCCATGTCCAAAGTGTTTTTAAAACAAACAAATCTCGTTATAACATGTTGATTTCATCAAAATGCACATTCAGCTTGTTTTCGGTGTGCATAGTCTTTTGAATCCTTGAGGCCCGGCATTGTAAACAACAGCAGAATGCAGCAAAGTTGCGTATTGTGAGCTGCTTATTGTTGTTTGCGCAATAAATTATACTTAATTAAAAACAATTAAAAGCAAATCCAATTCTATTTTGCATAACGGCAAAACATAAAGGCTTCGACTCAACCATCTTCCGGTAGAGTCGAGAACTTTTGTACACTGTTGAAAGCTTGTTGAATTCCATTGCAAATATTTGGCAACATTTTCCACTACAAAAACTAAACAAATCTGTAACATTTCAAATGTAAGCAGCATGCGTTCGCCCAAGCTTAGCCTTGAATCCGAAGGGGCAACTTCTTGAACGTTGCTTTGAATGCAACCATTGATAATCTCAGCTTTTTGTCAGGCATTAGAGTTGATTTTGAAAATATTTTAATTATTCCATGCCCCAGACAAGTTTAGCACAAGCATGCAGCCCATACAACACAAAGGTCAGCTGCAAAAGTGAAGCTCAACAGTTGGTCAAACAATTTGGCAAACATGCAATCAGTGGGCAACAAAATCATGCAATTACTCTGCAACATGCAACCACTTACGTAAATGGGCCACTGGTTGAGCTTCTGGCAAGGGGGCGTGTCACACCCACCCACACACACACACTCACACGCACACACACAAGCTTATGCATATATGCAGCATAAATTCGATTTGAAATCAGAGTCAAAGTGAGAAGATTTGACAAATATTGACAGCATAATTAATTTCTGGGCGCACTGACCTTGTGTTTGCTATTGCTTATTTAATTATTAACAATAACATGTTAATTATGCAACTTTTGCGTTTTGCGACTGTAATTAATTAAAATTTTGACAACACACCCGCACAGGTTCATTCCCACCTAAAAAAAGAGAGGGCCCCTCGGGGGAGAATGGACACAAAGTTTTGTAGCTAGCCTGCGCCTAGGCACATAAAGCAAACATTGACACACTGCCACGCCCACTGGCAACTAAAGGATTTCAGTTTATATAGTATTTTGTAGCAGAAAACTTGCTCGAAACTCAGCTGGCAACTGGCAGAAGCTTTTCCGACCGTCCAACTGGGCAGTGGGCAGTGGACAATGGAGAGGGGGGAGGGAAGAGGAAGCGCCTAAAACTCCCAAGAACTTTTTGCTCTACGTGGTATTGTTATTGCTATGCTGATGTTGTATTATTGTTGCGACCATACACTTAACCTAGAGTATTACAAACTATGTCATTAAGTTGGATACTTCAAGCAGAAGCTGTAAAATGAATCCTTAATTTGAGTATTCTTAAAGCATATTCAGAAATCAAACTCTGATCAATTTAGACTAAATATTCGTTAATTGGCATATATTGATATACAACTTTATGATTGTAAAATAAGTATGAATAAATAGTATTTTATTATTATTATTATTACAAATATTATATTAATTATTACTTTTATACTTATTTGATTGTTATTCTTAATGTTTTAAAAAATATACCATGACTTTAGTTGCCTAAGTTAATTTATGATTTCCAAGATTTGGGATAGAGATATTTGCGGATCTCTACAAAAAGAAGGATTTCTTATTTGATGAGCTTTGTTCTAATGAAGTCAGGGATTTCCAAGTGTTGTCTCTTTTATTTTACTTGTTGCTCTGGTACCAAACAGCTTTAATGACATTAAAAATTGACAGCAATAATGAAAGAACTGTACACAGAAAATAGGAAAAATATAAACTAAATTTTTAGAAACTTATTGTTGCAGAAAATTGAATTTAATATTTCAAGTAAATGGTTTGAGATAATTTGAGAAAATCTTTTTTTTAAGTCATATACAAAAACGTCCTTTTACCAAAAAAAAAGAAAGTTGAAGTATGAAACAGTTGCATCAAGAGCTAAGAGAATACAAATACCTACTTACAAAAATTGTATATGTTTAATATTTTGTGCTTGATTTAAAGAATTTGAGCTTACCCAACTACTGATACCTCTGGGCCACGTTTTAACTACGGAATACTTGATTTTTTTCAGTGTGTACATTTGACAAAATCCAGAAAGGCGCCGCATGAAAGTGCAGGTCAGCTGCATATAAAGGAATATTTTAACTGCCTCTCCTGGTTCAAGGCATTTCCCGTCGCCAGTTTCTCCGGATTTTTCCGTGAAAAACTGCCGTGCAATCTGCTGCTAATGTTAGTGTATCTCGAGCTTCGTACATTCAATTGTACTTGGTTTAATTTGCCATTTTGTTGCTGCTGCTGCTGCTGCTGCTGCTGCTTCTGGAGCTGTTTGGGGCTGTTTGGGGCTGTTGGTGGTGGCGGCGTTGCAATGCTCGGACAGCAGTTGAATCCAAAATGAAATACTTGATTTCAGTCTCCATGGAATTTGCCGAGCAAGTGCAGCGGCAGGCAGGCAGCCGACGCAAGAAGAACAGAAGTTGGAACAGCGGCAGGAGTGCCAGAAACTTTGCCGCTTGCACAGGAAGTCAACTTGGCATCCCGTCCCGCCTGCCGACGCCGACACCAAAGCAAAAGAGGAAGACGAAGATGAAGATGGAGACGAAGACGTTGACTGTGGAGCAGTTTACTTAAAATGTTTAGTGGAAAGTGTTTTAAAATACATTAAAAAGTTCACGGCTGCCATGGCACGCATAGAATTTATGCGAATTTGGTGAACTCTAGAGTGGAAACTTTTTACATTTGCGCCCGCCCAATCAACTTAAATATTTGTTTAGCTCAAGCAGCTGAGCTCTTAAATGGCTAAAACATACATACGCCATATACACGGATAAATATAATACAAATATATGTAACAGCTGTAATTAATGCCTCACCAAAGAGCATGAGCCGGTGTGTGTGTGTAGGTTTTTGAAAAAGACAAAACAACAAGGCAAACATAATACCGAGAAATCTATATGCAGATATACATGTACATATATATCTATAGATTTAATGTGGTTTTGTCATGAGCACCTTCAGCTATTTGTGCTAGTCATTTAATGAGCTACTTTCACCACCCATCTCATGTTTATGATATGCCCTGCCCGCGGGTAGGGAAGCCAAATATAATTCAAGATATTCAGTGTGGGCTGTCTATGAATTCGCTCACGTATTTCCGTTCAGACGGTGTGTTTACGCCTTGATTTGATACGCTTCGCAGAAAACTGCCAAATTTGCAAATGACAAAGTCGTATTTCATTTCATTACCAACGCAAAATCAAAAGCACAGCGAAAACAGCAAATAAGCAAAATAAAAAAAAAATAAGCAAATAAACATGCGTAAGTAATTTGGATATTATTTTTCCTCTGATTATTTGTAAGGAGTACAAAGTAACAGTCATCGGCAGGTTACTGAAATTTCGATGCCCTTAAAACACCTTAAGAACAGCATGATGATGTGATCAAATATTCTTAAATAATTCACAAATCCAATCAATTTTCTATAATAATAAAACCTATTGAAAACCTTTCTAAGCAAATAGTTTGAATGGCAGATAGATAATATTAAAATTTTAATTTTATCAAATAATTCGGAGTTGGATAAAAGTTTGATAAATATTGTAAAATATTCTTACCTTAATGCGATCTATCTAGAATTAATTAAAGTGAAGCAAACTGATTGCATATTAAGAATATATTATTAACAGATAAAAAAGATTTTATATATATATTAATAAATATTACTATACATTTACAATTATATAGAATATAGTAATAATTATATGAGAATATGTCTCAAATGTTTTATAGCAAAGTTTCAGTGCCCGCTGCAAGAGTATAATAATGCCATGCGAGTTGTGTGAGGCTTTTGCATTATTTATTGTAATTTTTACATTTTTTCGCATTTCGCAGCTGCAGTACGCAATTTGCTGAAATGAACAGCTCTTATCAGCACATCTGTTTGCTGGTTTCCAGTTCTTGATGCGACAGTTGTGGCAAAACATTAAAAAAATAAATATATAAACAATATTAAAGTCATGCGCAACAACGGAGGATGGGGGAGGAGAGCTGAAAATAAAAAGCGAAATAAAGAAAAATGGAAAAGCCAACTGATGTTTCCACAATTGTTGGCTTCATGTATGCAACAAACGTATTTAATTAAATAACCTATTTAAATTTGAATGCATTACACAAAAAAAATGCGAGTGATAAAAGAGAAAAGAAACTATATATTGAATTGATTCAACAAATGGAAATAATTGGCAACAAAAAAATTAAAATTAATTTAACTCGCGTCAATTCGAAAAATGCACAAAACGAATTATGCCGAGCAATTGACATTTTAAATTGCATTATTCACAAGAATATGTAGAAAATAATATGAAAAGCCAATGTCCTTCCTTCTATCTGTGTGCTAAAAGAAAATACGAATGCAAATTAAATATCTAAAGTGACTGCATACAAACTAAAATTGCTCAAATTCATGGTAAATGTTTATTCCAATTAATTATTCAATATTTGAATAAACATTTCAATCAACAGCTTTTAAGCTGTTTATACCCTCAACTCATTGCAAATGCGTAAAGCGGGTATGTTGGCTTTTTGCAAAAGTATGTAACACAAAGATTGAAGCATCTTCGACCCAGTTAAGCAGATTTATGCTTAATTCGTATCTATAGCCGAGTCGATATAGCCAAGTCCGTCTGTTTAGCCTTCTGTCCGTTTATCCACCCATCTGTCCTTATATATGATTCGATCTCAGAACTTATGAGAGCTAGAGTCTTGAAATTTTGATGCTATTTTAACTCCGCTTTTTCAATAAAAATCTAAATGTTTGTATATCGTTTTATATGAAGCGATTACAATTAGTTTGTTCAGTTGATGGATACAATTTTTAAAATATTGCTAGTCGTATCGGTGTACCTATTAAATATATACAAAATAATAAAAAAAGTGTAAATTTGTCTAAGGCTTGAGCAAACG